AAAAAAAAGCAAGAGCACAAAGTATGATCTCGAGTATTTTTATGATTCTCAAGGGAGAATGTGAAGAAGTATCACTGATATTCCATTTTTGCTTTCATGAAGGGTGCTTTAATAGGCTCACATAAAGGCAGCTGTCGCGTGTACACTACCACCGGTAAGTAATGCATCACTTTCCATCTTCTATTGATGTGATAATTACCAGAGGAATACAGCTGCTGATTTCCAATATGCGTTTATTCCTCAGAATGCAAACTGGAACAAAAAGACAACATCGACATTCAACCCAAGAAAAATTCTCAGCTGAAGAAGGTCACTGGTTTACAGGTATTTCTCTTTTCTAGAGTTACTACTGTTTATGTATACAGTCTTCTTTTCCTCAACACCTATGAAAGTTGAACTTGTTTACTTCCAGTTTGCCCCATGGAACCCAGCAGAAGTGCTTATAACTTCAGCTGATTCTCGTATCAGAATTTTTGATGGGTCAGAGATGATCTATAAGTTTAGAGGTATTTTTCTCTGATATACTCTTTTGGAGAGTTCAAACAACATTCATGTGTTCTCTAAACCTAAATTCTATTGTGTGGTAGCATCAGGTTTCCGAAATACAAGCAGCCAAATTGCAGCTTCCTTCAGTTCAGATGGGAAGTATGTTATAAGTGCAAGTGAAGACTCTCATGTCTACATCTGGAAGAGAGAAGAACCTAAGACCCCCACTGGTAAACGTAGAACTTCAATCTCTGTTCAAGCTCACGAGCGCTTTCCATGTAAAGATGTTTCAGTAGCCATCCCATGGCCAGGTAGGGTAAAGAATGAACCACCACTTGTAGAGATGCACTCAAAAAGGCATTCAAAACGTTTCCTCCCGCCCCCATATCCCACTGTTGGCTCTCCTACAAAAGAAAACCCCGATGTGGCAAATAGTAAAAGGCATTTGCCACCTCTACCCATAAAAGTTAATGCATCGGAGAGAGTGCAAAGTAGTCAGGAAGAGGAAGACTTAGCTCAACTTTCTCGGACAGATTCTGGTATTGGTCCCAGTGAGTCATTTGTATCAGGTTCTTCATCAACTAGGTTTGGTGATTCACCTTCTATATCTGCATCCAGCAGTTCACGATCACACTCTTGGTCCTCCTCCTGGTCTCAAGATGGTAGTAACAGCAACGGCAGCAATGTTGTCCAAGCAACAGCATGGGGCATGGTAATTGTGACAGCAAGTTTGGGAGGTGAGATCAGAGTCTATCAAAATTTTGGTCTACCTCTGAAAGCTGGTCGTCAAACCAATCTCTTTAGAGACCTGACATAAATTGTTGTCGAGGGAACAAAGTGATACCTATATTCTGCTCTTGAGCTTTAAATTTTTCTATAAGTTGTTTACGACCTAGTCGAGCTCAAGTTACACAGAACAAGGCAGAAGCCATCGGCTTCACATTGTTGATAAGTTTCATTTTAGTACCTTTTACAGTAGAAAGACCAAGCAGAGATCACAGTGTTCAATGTTCCAACCAGTTGAGCATTTTAACTTGCAATGTGCAATAGCATGCATTTTACCTAGCATTATGCAAAACTTGTTTTTTTAACAAGTGTCTCACTGGTTAGCCGTTTCAAGTTTACTTAGTTTGGGAACAGATCAATAAACAATCAACCAACTATATCTCAATCCCGTATTAGTTGGGGTCAACAATATGAATCAGTAGACTATTTTTAGCTGGTCCTCGATCTACTACACCAGCATCCATTATCAGCTTGGGACCAAATATACTTTGCGAAACTCACATAGCACAGTTAAAAAGAATCTTATAGCATCGCCTGGAAAGGACGATACTAAGCTATCCTTCGGTTTTTTATCAAAACACAAGACAATGCCCTCATGAAATCCAAGGTTAAACTGTTTGAAGAATGCAGAAAAGAATTCTTTTGGTATGTGCATTTAGGTTATTTGCGAAAGCATACTTTTATTTATTTAATTATATCTCAACACGCCCTTCACGTGCTGGCCCGGTTCTTTTTAATTGGACAAACACATGGAAATTCTAATTGATAACGGGTGTTGATAAGACTTAAACCATGAATCTCTGCCTACTCTGATACCATGTTTGAAGTCTATGACCATTTTATCTAAAAGCTTAAGAAAAATGGAGACCATTTACCTAAAGCAACATAACTAGAGATGTTTAGTGATAACTGAATCAAGGATAATTTTATAACGATGATTGAAGCCAAGTTTATCCATAAACAAGCAGACGTGAAGAAATGTAAGTGAAAATACTCATCAAAATATGTAGAAGCTAATGCGATAACCCAGAAATTAGCTGCGCAAAGAAAAGGGCTTTACCCATTTTACAGACTGATTGGCTCTGTTAGGTTTCTGCTAATTTTGCTTCTGTTGTCGCTCCCAAAATTAAAATGAATGGTGCAATGGCTTCACTCTGCTCGTTTACTACTTTTGCCCTCTATGGAAGAGTAGCGATGGACAGTGAATACAGATTCTTCAGTTATTAAGAGGAGAAATTTCAACAACTATCTCTTAATTTCAAATAGGTTTTTCTTCTTCTTTATGTTAATCTCAAATAGTTTTAGGCAGTATATCATCTTATATCTATTCAGACATATTTAATTGAAGTTAACAAAAAATATTTGATGTTGATGTTGAGAAAGAATATTTAAGTATTTGGACATGAATTTCAATTTGTTGAAGATTTGTGAGAGAAAATTATTATTTTGCCTAAAATACTCCTCGAAAAATAGCCTTTTGCTCTATTGCAAGTATCTTTATGCTACTTATTTGTTATTTGTAAGTACTTATGGCAAATATAAAACTTTAGTACTCACTATTTCAATTTAAATGTTACACTTCCTTTATTAGTTCATTTCAAAAATAATAATATATTTAAATATTTAAAAATATTTTAATTTTAAACTTTTTATTTTATTCATTTTACTGTAATGAGAAATTTTTATAGTAACACAAAACTTTTGTCCCGTAAACTTTTTGGAGCGTAATAACTAATTAAAACGAAGGGAGTATTATTTAAAACTAAACGGACTATAAATTTTTTAATTGTGATCAGATTTTCTTTTTTATTATCAACTTATTAAACCTCCTAATTCAGAGGTCTAAGATCCACTAGGCATGTAAAAGTGCTCGTCTAAAAAAGTTCAGGAATAATTAGTCAATTAAAAAGCTTTTTACAGTTGAAAAACATGAAAATTTTGTTTTTCTCGAAACAAGTCTATAAGCTTTTGAAAAATGTAATATTAAAGGCCTAATAAAGGGGGGAAAGCCACGCATTCTTTTTCCACGGCCTATGGGACAATCTTACGACGTCGTATGACCGATTTCAAATTTGAATTCTTACACAGCGCGGCATGGTTCCAGAACTCACCTCTCAATCTGCCAGAAGAAATAGCAGCTTAGAACAAACGAAGCTCCATACCTATAAATTTCCGAAAATCGATTATATTTTTCTCTTTTCTCAACTTTTAAAAATACAGAAATGAACTCTCCTATGAATTACGCTATTGACGATAAGGACCTAGACGACGCCGCATTATGGGCAGTGATCGACTCTGCCGCCGCCGCCGCCGCCTCACTTTCCTCCTCCACCACCACCACTATCTCCAAATACCGCAAAACTCTACCTTACAACCACTCTCCAATTCGGCCCCTTCACATTCCAAATCCTTCTCCACAGTCTAATCCTAGAAACTTCCAGAATCATCACCGTGACGGTGAGGTACTAAATCACCGGCCGCAAAAAATCTCCAGGTCAAACACTAACTGTGTTTCGGAACTGAACGAGATGAGTCCGAAACCGATGGCGGTAGTAAAGCACGTGCAGCGCACGCCGAACGTGACTAATTATTCGTCGCCGCCAGTGACGAGGAAGTCCCCGGTTCTGGTTCCGGTATCGCAGTATGATCAAAACTATAACAGTCCGATTGGATCGGAAAGTTCTCCGGATAGAGATGGCATCATGAGGCATAGCTTGGCCGGTCAGTTTCCATCTGTTTCTCTGTTCAAGGAGTATCAAAATGCGGCTATGGCGGTAAAATTCATCTATTTTCATTTTATTTTTATCATATTTGTTCAATTTCGTGTAAATTTCATGGAATCGATACTGCGTATATCAGTAGTTCAGCAAATTGTCTAGATATGTTAATTTAGCTAGAGAGTTATGGCATGATAAATGATGTCATTGATCTGAAATTTAACAAGAATTTGCTATATTATCTGTTGTTATGGTGAGTATAATTTATTAATTCATATGTAAAATTTTATAGTGCACAATAGCCACTTTCCGAATGTAGATGTAATAGTAACTTTGCTTTCTGTTCATTGAGCTATTTCAATGTACTTGAAGAGAAAGCTTTGTAAGTTTTTCTATTCTCTTGTATGATCATTGTCTTCACCTATTTTGCATTTATGATAGTAGTAAGGTGTATGCTATTCTTAGATTTACAAGGTTTTGTTTGCCTTTTCCCATAATTTCATTTTCTTGGTGAGAGACTTGTCTCATCTCCTCACTGAACATTATGCTTCTTTTGGCATCAGAAGAAATGTCATTCTTGTTCTCTATAGTCTTGTGATTTCAAATTATCTCTAATGGTTAATCGAAGTACGTCAGCCACTTAAACAACATTGATATTTGATTATAAATGAAAGAAATCTGAATCAAGAGAAACTTTGGAGCAAAAGATAGTAGAGTATTAACAGGAATTGGTAGTGCATAATGGCTTCTTTCTCAATGTAGTTGTATGTAGTAACTTTACTTAGCTTTCTGTTCATTGATCTATTCCAATGCGCTCTAAGAGAAAGCTCTTATGTGTTTCTGTCTTCTTGTCATGATATTTGCCTTCCAAAATTTCTTTAGCATATTAACAAGATATATGCATTTGCAGATAATTAGGTTTCTTCCCCATTTTTCCATAATTTGATTTTCTTGGCAATAGACTTGTCTCATCTCCTCATTGAACATTATGCTTCTTTTGGCATCAGAAGAAATGTTATCTTTTGTTTAATGGAAGTATTTCAGCTTCTTAAAGAGGATTGGAATTGGATAGCAATTGAAGAAAAACTGAATCAAGAGAAACAATACGGTAGTAGAGAAGTACAAGGAATTGATGAGCACAACATTTTGTACTAAATTGGATCAGCAGATCATTGTGCGAAAAATCTTCGAATTCCAAGGAAAACACTTCCTAAAGTCTGTGCAACGTCTGCACCTTTACTAAAATAGACTGATACAAGCCACCTTCAAGATAAATAAAACTACACTGCCTGTTAGTTTCTGTTAACATCTATAGTCAGCAATAACTACTGATGTTTTGTCATGAAGTTTTGTATATGCATGAATATGATTTCAACAGGGCTTAAGCAATTAAACGTTTCACAGATTCTGGAGAAAGGTGATTACACTATGATTTCTGGAAATCCCTTCATAAAAAAAGCTGGTAAGTTATCAAGCTTGGGTCATTGGTTTCTTCTACTCTCAGCTAAATTTAACTGCATAAACAGCATCATACTTGTGCAGGTTGGAGGAAGATATCCTTTTACTTCAATCTGTCATATGAAATTAAAGACAAGAGCATCGAATTTGATGAGAACCGTAATGTCCTACGTGCTGAATTTATAGTTCGGGCGTACATGCAGTATGTTCTTTTGACTTTCTCACTATTCCTATTGAAACATGTTGCTTTGCTAGATTCTTTTCAGCTTGTTTTATTTTTCCCTTTCTTTGGTTTGTTCGTAGGGGTGGTAGGTTCTCAGATGGATGGGGTTCATGTGAGAGGCGGGAGAAGAAGTTTCTAAAACCAAATCATGACATTCCCAGCACAGCAGAAACCAGAGCCAAAAATAAAGCATGCCAGGTACATAAATCTCCTATCCTAGGTACCCTATAATGATAAGTTGTTTGTCCTCGTTTAATTCATTTTATTAGTTCTTGGTCTTGCTTACTGCTTATTGTGTTGGTGGAGCATTTATATAATGATTATAGGCTTTACTGTTATCAATTGCCTGCAACTCCATCTTGCAATTTTTTCGGATGAATTCGTTGTTCTTTGTGAGTAGGATCTCTGGTGTTGTTTCATCCGTATAAAGGTTCATAGATAAGCTGGCAAAATAAAACTGCTTTGAGGCTTATTTCAGTTTTTTGGGCTCTCGTGAGGCTATCAAGCCTAGCAGTGTCACTTTGAGTCGTGATCTAGCCTGAACTTTGTAGTAGACTAGATATGCGCAGAGCCTAAACCTATTGCTGTTTGTGTCTTTCCCAGCTTCCCCTGGCCTTTGTCACAAATAGAGTTCTACAATGTTATACTGCTTTAAGTCACTTGATTTTAATTTGCTAACTGAGCACTAATTCTAGAGTCAGATGGTCTCCACTGTCCGGCTCTATTTCTCTCTAGTTCATCCAAACTATGAAATTCTTGCAACACCTTAATTCTATTTCAATACCAAGTTTCTATAGAACTAAGCATGCCTCGTGAGTTTGACAAAAGATAGTGTGAAATCCCTATAGGATCACCCTTTCCGTTCCGGTAAGAAAGTAGAACATGAAGAAGAATATAGAAGCTTTTATCAGTGTTCTTTCCCCAATCATACAGACATTGTGCATATTTAAAAGTTCATGGTCGGTGGCATACTTTCTCCATCCTTGTTCTTGTTTTTACCAGTCATCTCTATTTGTATCATTCACTTTCTGCTGTTTGGACAATTTATTCCTTTTACTAATAATCATCCGTTCTCTACTATTGTAAATTAGTCTGTTAAGCAACTCAATGGGTTTAAAAATTTACAGGACTTGCTTGGAATTGGAGAATATCGTCCTGGTGTGAACCAGAGTACTAATCGCTAGAACAATCAAACAGTAACGTCCTCCATACCTGAGTCATTTGTAGTTCCATTAACCTAAGACAGAATACTCATTATATCAAGTCTCCTCCTAACAGAAGTTTCACTCAACCCCAAACCTGATATTAGGTAATATGAAAAGCCATGGAAACAAGTATAGAAAGAAGTCGTATCATGTATGCACTGTAGTACACGCCTAGTGTGCTTGTAACATCTAAAGCCAATCCTGTACTTTGGCTTGTTATATTTTTTTCCACTTTTTCTCTCCTTTGTGTACTCGGTGTGGGATAATACTGGTTATGTTGTTGTTTATCTCCTTAGTGTGACACCAACTTTCAATCTTGGTGACCCCGTGTGTGATAATACACCAGGCAGCGGCATGGGCTGATAATATGAAATGACTTTTCTGTTTGATAATATCAAGCTAAGTTTGATAATATGAAATGACATTTCTGTTTGGCATTTTATACCATAAATTGACAGTTAGCTTGTCTTCATCATGTACTAGCAGATGAGCTTGCCATACCTTTTGACCCAAAATGTCACTTTTTGTTTCTTTCGTGGCAATGTGAAAATGGGCAAAAGGCCTAATAGCACTGCAAGTAGAATATTTTTTAAATCTGACACACCGACACTAGCTCAGTAGCTCTGGTTAAATTAGATGTATATTTCGAGTATTGTGTATATTATTGAGATAGTGATACTTCTATTAATGATCTCCGTTGACATCGCCGTTCTTGAAGAGTGTGATCTATGATCCACAATAGCTTCGTAAAAAATGAAAAGTCTGTCAAGGAATTTTAGATACACGTGTATGTGTATATACTTCTTTTGTATTTTCTTCTAATTAAATTACTTAACCATGTAAATTGATATGATTTAAGTATGAACATCGAGTGTGGTAAATTTTTACTGTTTCAGTCTGGGCTAGTTAGTCCCATTTTTATCGGCATTCTGTTATATTCATACGATTGAGTATATTAGTTCATTAAATTCTCAATTTGGATGTGGATGTCTTGACTTTCTTAGAGTTAATTCATTACTTATTATTTACCTTTGTACTTTCTAAACTATTGTCTTCTGATATACAGACTAAGGTCTTAAGGTAGTGCTAATGGCAAGTGTAAATGTAGGTTAGAACGTTCTAATCATTTGCCATTCTAAGTATTAGTACAGTCATTTCAATCACAAATAGGAATGGCAATGGGGCGGCGCGGGTTTGGCAAAACCCACAAATATTTTAACCCGCCCTGCCCCGCATAACCATTTTTTTCTGTTTTCAACCAGTCCCGCCCCACTTAGACCCGCCCCGCCCTGCCCCATTTTTTTTCTTTCTAAACAAACTAGTTTGAAATTTTATACTACTAAAAGTTTAGATTGATAGTTCAGTAGAAATGTTTGAACAATAAAATATGATAAATAGCTATTTGTATATTGGTGGATAGAGTGATTAAACGTTGAACTAAAGACATAAAAGTAGTTTTTGCAGTTTATTATTTAAATTTAATGGCATATTAATTTATAGATCTAATCACTCTTATCCCAAGATTATTCATAATTCTGCCCCTAATTGATACTAGATAATTATCTCTACTGGAATATAAGGAAATTTCAGTTGAATTAGCAGTAAAAAGGAATACTTGTAGAAGAATAATAGTTTTGTTATGAAACAATAAAAGAAGAAAGAAGAGTATTGCAGAGAAAAGTAGGGAGAGAGAACTCTTATTAATTTTGGGATGAATTACAATGGAATAGAACCCCTTTATTTATAGGGGAAGAGTGACTTAGCCATCAAGTAACAAACCCTAAGATCTCTCTAAATATAGACATTCACCATAAATAAAATCTTATTTTATAACATTCCCCCTTGAATGTCTATTCAACGGATAATGTGTCTCGTTAAAACCTTAATTAAAATAAAACCCAATGAGAAAAAAATTCTCGAGAAGGAAAAAAGATACACATATCTAACTATACGCTTTTTGGTTGCCTCGTTAAAAACATTGCAAGGAAAACCCAGTGGGACAAAACTTTGTAAGGGAAAAAGAGTACAACGCGTATTAACTCCCCCCTGATGAGAGCATTAATTCACATCTTTAAGCATGTGCATTCCAATCTTGTGCACCATCTTCAAACGATCTTTGGTAGAGACTTGATAAACAAATTAGCCATATTAACTTGAATGAATATATTGCATCTTGAAATCATCATTCTTGATAGAGATGTAATGTCTTCATAAACTGTCGTAGAATGTCCTTTTCAATATATCCATAGAGGTATTCTCGCTATCACATTATCATGCTTACATTTGTACACAAATTGCACTGAGGAAGTGGTACTTCAAGATCAAAAATTGTATATGCTTTAAGCAGTTTAAATCCTTTGGGGATTGTCATATAAGTATAGTCAAATAAGCCATTTAAAGAGACTTTAGATGCATATCAAGTTTTCATGTCATGCTAGACATATAAGATATCGAAAACTGATTGCACATACCATTGACTATATACTTTCAAGTGTTTGAACTGCAGGTCCAAATACTTGTCTTTCATATGAAACCAATTCTCTTCGAATTGCGTCTCTTCTATTTGGCCAAAAATTTTGTGTTTATATTCGTTAAACTTAAGATCCTCATCTATACTTAGCGCTATGATAGATGTCATCGACGAACATTTTATATCGATTCCAACATTTTTTCATAAAGACATAACATAAAGATCTCTTCATTCATATATTCAGGTACCTGAATCTCTCATGAGATTTTATGAAGTGTTATGTCATGTGATCTTCTAGATCACTTGCCTCCTTATTATGATCACTTTGATCATTTGCTCATCCTCTTTATCAAGAAGTTCTATTTGAAACCGATTTGTCTATACGCTTTAAACGTACCATAGACTTTGTCCTTCTAGGACTTAATATGAGCATTTGTAATGAGAATATAGTTACT